GATTTGAGCTAACAAGTCATAAAGACCTATCACGTCTAAGTCTGGATAAGGCTTGTCCGAGGTGGACTGAGATGTTGACATATGCTTTAGGGGAGAGGCTTGAGGCTGTGGCCAATTTCTCAATTTAGTCGACAGCAGAGAATATCCTTCCAGTCGTTTCTGAGAAATGCCTAGTGAGTGATCAAGTGCTCTAAGTTGGGTTGTCTTCGATGATAGGGTCGACCGACATTGCCTTTCGCGTCGACTCAGGAGTGTTGGCCTGTTCGACTGGTTGGAATGTCATCTTGCCCTAGCTAAGATCGGTCTTTCAAGTCGATGTAAAGATGTCGACTCGTCTGGAAGGTCATGATCTCTTGTGTCGACTCATATCGCCTTTCATATCGACATCAGAGTGTCGGCTTGATGAGTCGGCGGAGCCGAGGATTCTATGATTGTGCCTTGGGTTTATTCTTGATAAGGTACCAATGGATTTAAATTCGACTGAAGAGTCGAATGCCTAGAACTCTTGAGAGTTGACTCGGGCTCTTATTGCATTATTTTGTAAATATTGTATCTTGGGCGAGTGAATACCATAACAATAATGATTGCACAGTCCAAAAGTCAAAGAAAGAAGATTAAATAAATAGTAATTTAATATGTCAAATTAACAACTAATTTATAAAATATACATGAGCAGTGTAAATAGCTATAGAAAGTAAGGTATATATCTTCATGAAAATTTCATAGTGAGTGACCGATTACAATCATCCTAATTCAAGCATACATAATTATTATTTTAGTTACTAATTTGATACGCGTAATTATGGAATAAATCTCAAGAAAAAAATAGGAATAGAGATTGTATTATTCTATAGGTAAATAAATAAATGTTATTAGAGCTCATCTTTATATTAAATTTAAAAGTAATAATTTAAATTATTAAGCATCAAATATTAGCTCATGCGAGAAAGTAAAATAATCTATTGTCTATATACATATATAGTCAATCAATCAAATATATTAAAATCATGATGATCACAGTCAAAATTATATGGTAGGTTCACATTAAATATAATGTATAAAAATAGTATATTAAAGTCAAAATTTATTTAACTACTATATAGATTGTCTGAATTTTTTTGCATATATAAACTATACTGTCTAGGAATAGTGATGTGAACACTTAACTATGGATTCAGATCCTCTCCACTATAAAAAAAATAGTGGAGGGACCACTACATAATCACAGCCATTGATTATCTAGTTGATGGTTATGATTTTTTCTTTTAGTGCAAATTAGGAATGAGTGCAATACACGGGGGTATGGTAAATGTTAGATTTAGATTGTATCATAACCGCCTACTAAATAATCAATGTTTGAGATTAAAAGTAGTGGTCTCTCCACTACTTTTTTGTAGTGGAGAGGATCCAAATTCCTTAACTATGGCCTAATAATTTTAAGAACGACTTACTCTTCAATATTATCATTAATTGACGTATCTATGCATTACACTGAAAACACAATAAAATTTTAGAAAACTACAAAATAAATACCTTCAAAAGTTTTAAAAATTATAAAAAAACACCCTAAAATTTTATAATTTATAAATACACAGAACTATTAAACATTACATTGAAATCAAGGAGTTATAAAGAATCATTAAAAAATTTCAAACTTTGGAGGGGTAATTTGCAACGTACTAAATTTTAAGGTTTTTTTGTAAAATTTAAAATTAATAGATTTTTATTTAATTATGTTCTTTTCAAAAAAGTTAAGGATAATATTGATCATGGAATGGTTTTACTATACCTATTCTTTTAAAGGGTGTATGATACTTTTTACAAAATTTTAATTTCTTGGGAGTTGTTAGTAATTTTGCATATTTATTTTAGTGTCTATAAGTTAGAAATTCTCATGGTTTTTTGTAAATTATGAATTTTAGGGGACTTAAAGGCCTTTTTTACAAATTGTAATTGTTTATAGACTATTTATAATTCATATGCTTTCAATTTACTAATGAGTTTGAAATTCTCAATGTGTTTTTTATAAATTTTGAATTTTAAGGGTTTGTTTATAATTTTTAAAACTTTAAGGGTGTTTTCTATAAATTATGAATTATGTAGGGGATATTTGTAATTTCTATATTATCAATGCTGTTAGGTTGGAAATTATTAGGATTTTTATAATTTTTACAATAACGAGGGTTTTATTTTGTAATTTATAAAAAGTTTAGAGTGTTTATTGTAAATTTTATAAATATTCGAGGGTTGTTTGTGTTATTTGTAGATTTTTAGTGTGTTTATTGGTTTAACATTTTTAAGGTGTTTTTCTATAATTTTTAAATTTTGGGGTGTTTTTGCAATTTTTAAAACTTAAAAAATATTTTTTCTAAAGTTAAAAATCTTTCAGTTTCTAGCTAGCATATATTTTTTAGATTTCTCATTAAATGATCATTTAAGATCATTTAATTAAAATAAGTTTGAAAATAAGTTGGTTTTCAAAATTTGTCGATTTTCTTGTTATTGCACGAAATAGAAATAGCAGGGACATATGATACGCATAGCATAAGAAACTGAAATCTTGGTACTTGACCAGTTCCATAGTTTATCATGTTTCTTTCGTGATCTGTTGTACTATATAAAATCTGACCGTTCTTGAATCGTTTGCTCGCATCCGTACGTAGTTCAGACGTTACCTTCCTTAATTTCTCGAACGCCATAAGACTATCTCCATCAGGAGTCGAAATTTTAACCTTCTCTCTCCTGCCACATCACTTTATCCCCCCTCCACATAATTCAACAATCTCCATTTTCTATCATCTCTACAGCAGGAGTTTTTTCAAAAGATTTTTACTTTATTTGGGACCCACTATAACCCCATCACTCCAACATATATACCCCACCTTATTTATTCATTTCTTTTTCTTATTTCATATATATTACTACTACTAATATTATTATTACTAATATAACTCATTTATTTATAATTATAATTTTTTAATATTTACATAAATAATATATATTATTAATTTAATTTTTGATAATATATATTATTAATTTAATTTTGAGTAATTTCCGGGGCTTGCATATTTGGATTTTGAGGGTTGGTATTTTGAGGCTGGTTAGGAAAGTTGTAGGAGAAATTAAGATAATTTTGTGAAGGATCCATTTGAAAAAGTTTAAAGAATATAGAAGCAAAAGCAAAGAGAAGGAGAATAAGGTGTTGAAAACTCAGATTTTTTTTTGTCTCCAAATTACACAAGACTAATCTCTATTTATAGAGGTGAAAAAATAAAAATTATTGATATAAAAATTATAAATTAATTCTTAGTATTTATCTCCCAAAATATCATTTAAAAGTTAGGAGTAAAACAAAAAAACCCAACCAATCAAGGCATGACACATGACTTGATGCAATTGTTGATCTACTGTTGCGGGACCCACATGGAGAGAAAAACCGGAGGTGAAAATTTCACCCATTGGGCTCCGATTTTCCATTCCTCACCATCTTAAAAGCTACCCGTCTGGAGCAACTCGCCCCCCGCCCCCCCCAATATATCCTGTTGAGATAGGTTCCAAACCCGGCGTTTCTTCAGCATAGGGACCCGAATGGTACTTTGTCGTGCCAACTCGCATCCCCAAAAAAAAAAATGTTTAAATAGTTTTATACCGACATTGCATTTAGATCTAATCAATTTTGTTGACTCTTTGGGCACGCAAAGTTGAATACCCCAATGGGAGATTAAGGGTGGTTTTTGAAACGCAGATAATTAAGAATGAAATCTACGTGAATCTGAGCATAAATTAGGATGGTTAATAAGGAGGGGGGGGGGGGGGGGGGCGCGGGGGTGGGGGGGGGGGAATACTGAGAAACGTTAAATATTATGATCAACAGGTTATTTGGAGGTGTTTTGATCGCTTTACTTCCAATTTTATACAAGTGTCAGTTGCATACGGTAGCTATAAAATTTAGAGCTACCATTTACCATTGAAATTGCAGTAAGTTATATATGAATTTAGCGCCCAATTAAGTCACTATATGGGTAACAATGCTGGGGAAAACTTGAAAGTAGCCTCTATCCTTCAATAATATTACAAAAAAAAAAAGGTAAACGCAAAAAAAATTAGAGAAACAAAGGAATCATGAGAAATTAGAAAATGCATGTTTCACGTTAACTCCTTCCCTTATCTAGTCAGCGTACGAGTGGATCCTCTCACGTTTTCAGATAACCGTACGCTGCGGTGGCAGTGTCTGAAGCTGAGACGCCTCTATATGAACGTTTGCATAGAGTGTCACCTCTAGATTGGAAATCCAACCGTTCAATTTTACGTAAAGGAGCATCTAGCCGTCCGCTGTATTCATGGGCTGGGCCACGGAGGAGATCAGATCTAGTGCTCGCGGGCCTCACTTCTGTTATTACGAGAGAAAAGAAAAGTGCGGAGCAGGGCTCGGTGTAGAGGAGAGGAGGAAGATACTCTTTCTATGTACCGTACGTTTTACTATGTAAAGCCCCTCGTCGTGGCCTAGAGTAAAACTAAATATGATGAGAAAATCAAGTAGCAAGAAAACAAATCCTAAAATATATTGAACTAGCAATTGTAAATCAACATGATCAATATGCAATTTCAATACCATAAAAATTGATGTAGTAAAAAATGAGAATATTGTATCAGTGCAATCATCAATACAGTATACATGCAAACCACTGATGCCATATTGCTGATATAGGATCTTGCATCAGAACACCACCAACTCAAATATCCATATGCTGGGGCCTCATTGCAGTTTTCTTTTTTACTGTGTAATTAATGGAACTGTCCACTAGACAAGCGAACACTGAAATCCTGAGCCTATCAAAAATACTATTAAAACGAAAATAAATTCTAAAAGAAGTTATATAATATATATAAGTTTTGTTGACATTAGCTTGTCCCTAATTAATCAAGGCCCATAGTGTTTAAATTGAAGCAAGTCCAGGCCAAATTAAAGTACTGAATCGTAAGGCCAGCCGATTAAAACATTGAACGGGCCGGGTCGTTTCACATTGATCCAAAACGTATTGTTCACGGAGCGTACCGGTACGGCTCTCCTTCTCCTCCCCTGCGAAGTCCGATCTCTTGAAGCCAAACCGAACCCTAACCCTAATCCTAGAAACAGCGGTCGATGAAGTGAGCGCCGAAACCCATGGAAGGGGCTGCCATTACGCTGCCCCGCTCCTCTGACCTCTCTCCCGCGCTCCGGCGCTTCCTCTCGAGCTCCTTCGAGGCCATAGACGACCTGCCGAGATCCGTCCACCTCGAATCCGATCTCAGATCCAGCTGCACGAATCTTGAGGCGTCTCTCTCGGATCTCGGCCGCCGGCTGTCCGATTCCGTCGCCTCCTACGCCGCCCACTCGGATCAGGTCTCTTCCGCTCTCGGAGGGGTGAAATCGGGACTGCGAGATCTTAGATTGAGCGTTTCGAGGCACAGTTCAGGTAAATTTAGGCTTTTGGTTGGGAAATTAACTCTATTTTTTTTTGGGATTAAGTTTTTGGTGGAATTTTGGTGATGTAGATGGATTTGGGAGAAGCGAGCAGATATTGGGGGAGGAGCTGCCGGCGCTTGCGAAGGAGGTGGCCAGGGTTGAGACAGTGAGAGCTTATGCTGGTGAGTGACTTTTTTTCTTCTTCTTTACTCAGAATTGAACCTTGTCCAATTTATTTTAGGTTTCCTTCTACCTGAGCTTGAAATGTAGGAAGTTTTAGTGATCATATCACAGTCTTAGTCAATTATTTAAGAATATTTTTAGATTTTTAGTTCACTATTGATTGCGCTGAGGTTATGAACATCACACAGTAAAGAGAAAATTGCAATGAATGCCCAGCATAGATTTTTAAGCTGGTGATGTCCTAGATCTTCTCTCAATGTGGACTAATATATTGATATACGCCGCACTGCCCTAATCCTAAGGTCTGTCTCGTGCCCCCCAACGGGATTCCTTGTGTAATCCTGATTTACTAAACCAGCATGCTCATAACTTGTCTTGGTTGCAATGCATTCACTCGGACACATGGATAAACTTCCATCTATTTCCTAATCCCTCTGTTCCACTCCATTTTCACCAAGTCACAAATAGGGAATCATGCTCAACGTTTATATTAATATGGCTTAATGTCATTGCTGTTTCTCTCTCTTCCAATATGGCTTCTCTCTCTACTCTTCACAGTTTACTATAATTGACTGGGTTATTTACACTTCAATACTCCATAATTTGACTCGTTTTTTAATTTGGTACCGCAAAGTTTGTTTTTCCCCAATAAATACCCCAAAGCTCAACAAAATTTAATTTTGATACCCCTGATGTTTCTTTTGCCCAAAAATATCCCGAAGTTCAATAAAATTTTAAATTGACACCCGAAGTTCAACAAAATATTAACTTTGATGCCTAAACTTAAATTTTTGACAATTTTTTTTAAAGTTGAGGTATCAGAGTTAAAATTTTGTTAGAAGTTAAAGGTACTGGAGTTAAATTTTGTTGAATTTTGGGGTATCAAAGTTAAAACTTAGGTAAAGTTGGGGGTATTTTTTTGCAAAAGAATACTCAAGGGTATCAGAGTTAAAAGTGAGATTCAAATACATAAAGTAAATATGAAGAATAATCTATTTTAGTACGTACGATGAAATTTAAAGCATTGGTTGTATTTTAAATTATAATATTAGGAAAGGGGGAGGAAACATGAGGAAAAGAGCGAATCGTTGATTGTATTTAAATTATAATATTGGGAATAATTCGATATATGTGGAATTTAATCCACATTATCGGGTGCCCAAGGGCACCCATTGGGGAAATCCCTTTTGTTTAATCTTAAATGATCAACTTGAGTTGACACTACAAGCTGACTGTTTAACAGTGAGATTATCACCAGAGAACTGTGTATGTTCAAAGTGTTAACTAAGCTGTCACAACAACGGAGTGGGCGAAGTTTTAACTTCCAACTGGGCCCTTTTGTTTCTAATTTTTAGTTAGAGATTGATTCCTTGTGGCAAAACTTCTGCTTCATGTAGGCCTTTTTCTAGCAATGGAATTTCAGAGAGCCATCACTTGATTTCATGAGCTTAAATTACAAGCTCCTGCCTAGAGCTTAGCCTTCTAAGATTATATGGCCGGCCTCTCTTTTGCCCATCTTTCTAGAAAGCCTTTCTTATATGGCAAACTTCTAAGCCTCTCTTTCGAGATATGTTTCTGCGGATCATAATGTAGACGTCAGTTTTGTTAGACTTCAGTCTTTCATTTTGTTGATCCAGGTTCTATTTCAAGTTATTGTCAAGGTTTGTTCATTGTTATGTCTTACATGTGTATTTGTTCAACTAATTTCACAAGAAAGTAAGTCTTATAATGGTTGAAAGTACTACATTGTGGCTTGCTGTTGCAATTTGAAAGGGCATCAATGCGTCATCATGATCGAAGCTGTAGCAGCTGTCAACCCAATCTCAATCCTTTTTCTATTGAAAGTGTTACTATTATTGATACGGGTGTATCTTCTTCCCTGCCTCGGGAGCTTAGCGATCCTCATGGGAGCTTGAGGATAGGAGATTCTCATGGTATCTTGAGAATAGGAGCGTGGATGGAGCTAAAGGAAACGGCGAAAGAAGTCGGAAGAAGCAAAACGCAAAAAGAACAGGGAAGACTGACAGTTCTCTGTCCGGTCGACCGCAGCACGCATGCCGGTCGACCGGAAAACCTGCACGCTGCAGGGTTTGAGAAAATTCTCTGGCCGGTCGACCGGACCAAGCCCGGCGGTCGACCGGATCGCGATTTCTGGGTTTCCTGTTTCGTTTTGGATTCTGTTTTGACAGGGATTCCTGATTCTTTTGGGCTTGTTTATTTACAAGTTTGCCATCCACGTTTGCACATCTATAAATAGGATTGTTTTAGGGTTCTAAACAATCAGACCTAAGGGAAGAGAAATTCTAATAATTGTATTAGGGTTTAGAGAGAGAGTTGAGAGGTTGTTCTCGATTCTAGTGAGATTGTGAGGGAGAGATTGTAATCTTTTGTTCTTCATAATCTAGAGAAGGTATTTTCCTTCGCCTTATACTGAATTATTCTTGTGTTTTGGTCATCCTCTTCTCAACCCACCTTTTGGTAATTCCGCGACCAAAGAGTGCTCGCACGACGACTTGTATCAGTATTTCTTCAAAACGCGTGCCTCACATGCACGAGCCCAAGCATGAGCTCCATGAAAGCCAAGTTGAACGCAGCCCTCAGTGGCACACTGTTCAATCAAAACACAGACCTCACGAAAGCGTTGATTCTCCAAAACACAACTCTTAGGAGCATATTATCCAATCAAAATGTAACTCTCAGGAGCGCATTATTCAATCAGAACGCAACCCTGAGGGACGTGTTACTCATTTAGAATGCAACTGCTAAGGGAGTGTTTCACCAAAAAAACACAGACCCTAGGCCTGCGTTGCTCAAACAAAATGCGACACTTGTGTTCCCGTCCTCAAACATAGTTCTTGCATTCCAAATGCTGAACGTGGCTCTCGCTTCCCTTCTCCAAACCACGATGTGGTACGTCGCGTCTACTGATGGACAGGAGGTTCCATCTTCAACCTAACATTTAGTACAATGGTTCTTAACATTGCGACAGAGGAATATTCCGTGTTTATGAAGTATATGGCGGGATTGAGCGATTACATCCGAAAGGAGATGAGGTTATTCACGGTCGAGACTATTGCAGATGCGAGCGTGAAGGCCATTGCCATTGAGGGCAAGCAAAAGAAGAGCAACGAAGCAAAGGGGGATGCAAAGCAAGTTGGAGGCGAGTCTAGTGGTTCTCAGTTTAAGGAGGAGAAGAAGAAGGGTGATCCAGGGAAAACAGGGCTGATTTGTAGTCACTGTGAGAAGACAGGACACGAAGCTGATCGGTGCTGGGAGAAGTATCCTCATATCAAACCAAGAGGGTTGAAGAAGAAGGAGGAGAAAAAGGCATACATGATAGCTCAAGGTCCGAAAGAAGTCCCGGGGTTGACAGAGCCTAATAGCAGTCTTAATCTTATGACGGGGAAACAGGCCACGAAAGAGGACGACGACCCGAGAGAGCAGCTCTTTGTTCTTAAGTTGCAAGTGAAGATCAGTTTGGTTGATGCCATAGTTGATCCGGGCAGTGAGAAGAATTTGATATCCGAAGCCTTGGTTCAGAAGCTGGGTCTGAAGACGGTCAAGCATCTGAAGCCCTATCCATTGGGGTGGATTCAGAAGGAGGAGAAGCTATGTGTAGATGATCAATGCACTATAAGATTTGCGCTCCATGAGTCGTATATTGACGAGGTCACATGCGACGTAGTTCCATTGGATGTTTGTCAGATTATACTGGGCAATCCGTACTTATGGGATAGATATGCGATCTACGAGAGGCGGGCTCAGAAGTACACCTTCACTAAGGATGGTGTAAAGTTGGTTTTGTGAATCAATTCCACAAGAGCTTGAGGAGATTATCTATTGAAGTTTGAGCTTCCAACTATCTTCCCTCCATCTCTTGTTATCAATTGAGAAGTTTTCTAAACTCAAACTCTAGCTTTACATTTATATACTTGTTTGATTATCATTGTTCTCCCATGATACGGGTGTATCTTCTTCCCTGCCTCGGGAGCTTAGCGATCCTCATGGGAGCTTGAGGATAGGAGATTCTCATGGTATCTTGAGAATAGGAGCGTGGATGGAGCTAAAGGAAACGGCGAAAGAAGTCGGAAGAAGCAAAACGCAAAAAGAACAGGGAAGACTGACAGTTCTCTGTCCGGTCGACCGCAGCACGCATGCCGGTCGACTGGAAAACCTGCACGGTGCATGGTTTGAGAAAACTCTCTGGCCGGTCGACCGGACCAAGCCCGGCGGTCGACCGGATCGCGATTTCTGGGTTTCCTGTTTCGTTTTGGATTCTGTTTTGACAGGGATTCCTGATTCTTTTGGGCTTGTTTATTTACAAGTTTGCCATCCACGTTTGCACATCTATAAATAGGATTGTTTTAGGGTTCTAAACAATCAGACTTAAGGGAAGAGAAATTCTAATAATTATATTAGGGTTTAGAGAGAGAGTTGAGGGGTTGTTCTCAATTCTAGCGAGATTGTGAGGGAGAGATTGTAATCTTTGTTCTTCATAATCTAGAGAAGGTATTTTCCTTCGCCTTATACTGAATTATTCTTGTGCTTTGGTCATCCTCTTCTCAACCCACCTTTTGGTAATTCCGCGACCAAAGGGTGCTCGCACGGCAACTCGTATCAATTATAGTGTGACTTACTGTTTCGATTTGTAAGGCATCAATGCATTATCATGATTGAAGCCTTAATAGCTGTCAATCCAACCCCAATCCTTTACGCTGGTGCCAAATTCCTACTGAATTATTATGTGAATAAGAGGGCCCACTTTAGCACCCATTAAGGCCATTTACAGGTCATTGGAACTTGCCAAAACCATAAGGCCATGAAATCTAAGACTATACCACTTACATTCCACTGTTCTATCGAGATATTTTTGTTCATTTTTGACAAATATGCAGCACTTGTAGATGTGTATAATAGCGAGAAAACCATTTCGATCGTAGATAAAAGGTTTACCCTTTTCAATTGATTTATCTTTATTTAACTTATATGTTAATCTGCATCATTTTGACCTACCTAGACTATGTTTAATCTGATTTTTCTCTTCGAACACTATGACCTCTTTCTTTGCTCAAACTTGATAACTTTAATACTCGTCTGTAAATTGCTATTTATTTGACAAGGCTGTGTTTCTAATTTGCTACGCATGAAAATATGACTTGGCTTAAGTTCTCTTTTCACAGAGACAGCATTGAAACTTGACAGCTTGATTGGTGATGTAGAAGATGCAGTCTCTTCTTCAGTGACCACTAAACTCAGATCTCCTACTAATTCAGTTGTTTCAGAGGTCTGTTCTATCCAAACATATTGAATATAGTATCTCTCAAAAGTCAAAACAACTGTAAATTGTCATCCTTATGAACGTTTTATTTATTTAGGAATCTAGGCTCATTGCCATCAACTCTCTCAAGGAAATTGAAGATATCTTAACATCTGTTTCCAAAACCCGGCCTCAATGGTCTCAGCTTGTTTCAGCTGTTGATCACAGGGTTGATCGAGCCCTAGCTGTCCTGCGACCCCAAGCAATCTCAGACCACCGCTTGCTTCTTTCTTCACTTGGTTGGCCTCCTTCCCTCTCTGGTTCTAGCTTTTCTACCACAAACACTGGGAGTAAACAAGCCAAAATCTCAAATCCTCTGTTCACAATGGATGGGGACTTGAAGAGCAAGTACTTTGAGAGTTTCCTCTCCCTTTGCCGTCTTCAGGAGTTACAGAGTCGCAGAAAAACCAGGCAGCTTGAAGGCCAGAATCTAGCTATGGCTGCTTTCCGCCAACCTCTTTGGGTAATCGAAGAGCTTGTGACCCCAATCTCTTTAGCATCCCAACGCCACTTCTTGAAGTGGGCCGGGAAGCCCGAGCTTATATTTGCTCTTGTCTACAAAACCACAAGGGATTTCATCGACTCAATGGATGAAGTGTTGCAACCTCTTGTTGACAAGGCCAGACTTGTGGGTTACAGTTGCCGAGAGGAGTGGATTTCAGCAATGGTGACTTCACTTTGCACATATTTAGCCAAAGAGATCTTCCCTAAATATGTTGATCTCCTTCAAGATGATAGCAGGGCTTCCTTTCTTCATCTCGTTGATCAGATGATATCATTTGATAAGAGAACATTGACCTTGATTTCAAATTCTGGGTTGTTATTATCACTAAAGGAAGATGAGAATCTACAGAGAGTCTCTGTTCTATCAGTCTTTTGTGATCGCCCAGATTGGCTCGATATATGGGCAGAGGTCGAGAGAATGGAGATGCTAGACAAATTAAAATCTTCACTTCAGATAGAGAAAAGTTGGAGCACAAGGCTTCAAGGAACAATACTGATGACTGGCTCAGAAGACTACAAATCTCCCGTGATCTCTGGCGTTCTCTTCCAATGTCTCTCTACCATTGTTGACCGGTCTAGGCCTCTTCCAAGCATTTTATTGAGGGCGAGCTTCATCAGACTCGCTGGAACTCCACTAATACGGGAATTTCTTGATTTCCTTCTACGTCGATGTCAGGAAGCAGAGGGCCTCACTGCTTTAGCAGATGATGATGCCTTGATCAAGGTCTCAAACCCCATCAATGCAGTCAGGTACTCTGAGTCCATACTATCAGAATGGTTGGAGGATGTGTTCTTCCTCGAGATGGAGGAAGAAGGCAAGTCTATATTTGACGAGGAGATTGAAGGGTTGAGAGTGTTTCGAACAGAATGGATTGAGAAGGTGTCAACAGTGGTTTTGAGAGGCTTTGAAGCACAGTGCAGAGACTACTTCAGGAACAAGAAGCAGTGGCAGGAGAAGGCCGAAGGAGGCTGGGCCGTGTCGAAAACCTTTGTTGGAGTTTTAGACTATCTTCAAGGAAAGATTTCAAAGCTGGAGGAGAATTTGAATGAGATGGAGTTCATCACATTGTGGAGGAATGTAGCTGGAGGAGTTGATGGGCTTGTTTTTGGTGGTGTTTTGATGGGCGGCGGGAGGTTTTACGATGGAGGCGTGGAGAGATTTGGTGGGGATGTAGAGGTTTTATTTGGGGTTTTCAGCAAGTGGTGCTTGAGGCCGGAGAGGTTTTTTCCGAGGCTGAGCGATGGTTTGAGGGTGTTGAAGATGGAGGAGAGGGAGGTGAAGGAGGAGATGAGGAAGGGGAAGGAGAGATGGTTGAGGGAGAAGGGGATAAGGCATTTGAGTTTAGGAGAAGCTGAGAAGATAGCGAAGAATAGGGTTTTCATGGGATAGTAGAGCTTAGAAGCTAAGCGATTCATGGAAATTGTTCATGCAGCGATGTGCAGGGGACTGCCAATTATGTTTTTGTTGAGGTAATTTTCTACTTCTTCTTCTGCGGTTAGATTGTTGTACATGGGTTTATAGCTTACAGACAATTTTTTCTTTTTCTTTTTTTTTTCCTTTTTTTTATGCAAGTTTAATTCATTCCTTCAAGACCCAAGGATGCAATAATCTTCAAGTTAATATATATATAACTAATTCAGTGTGCAAGCTTTCCGCAGTTTGGCTCCTAGAGCAAAGAAAGTTTACCATGAAACTGTGGCGGGACTACGGGTCTCTTGCCTATGGCCAAGTGACTTTATTTTTATCAATATAAACTTGATTGTTATTTATTTAGAAATGGTAAATAAATTCGCACGGCTCTTTTTCTTCATATTTTACCAGCTGAAGGTAATTTGAATATATTAGACATTCGATACTTCAAAAAATTTGTCTACGTGAGTCAAGTTATGCCGTTCTCACTGAACATTCGGTGGCGTATGATGACAAATCCGTTTCAGAAGTTTGGCGCGGGGCTCAAAATATTGGCCGTTCAAAGGCCCAAAATTGTAGTCAATATTGTGGTACTTATAATATTAAATAATATTTTATTACTACACTAAAAATAGTAATAATCTACTATATATTAAAGTGTGATATTATATAAAATTTTAGGGGTTTCTGTCTTTTACCCCAAAGTTTTACTTCAACTTATTTTTAAACCAATGGACTTATAAAATGCCGCTTAAACTCAAAAATGCAAAGATCACCTATTTTTAAACCTAAGTCTTCATAATATGTATAATTATACATTATATACATATTCAAAACTCAATATCCCCATGTTACCATCTCCTTCACTCTCTCTTCTACTCTTTGCTCCCTTTCAAATAAACTTTCACCACCCTATTAATCACTGGGCTCCTCCATAGCTCTTCAACTTTCCATTTGAATCCATTTCCTCCTCCTGATTGAGCTCTATGTTCTTACTCCTACCACTCCTCCACTTCCTCCACAAAAGGCTTCACAATGGAGCTCGCTCGCGACATCAAGTTCACCGGTTGTCCCTCCACTCCTTGGCCAACAAGCTCAAACAATTCAAGCTCATCCTCGACTGCTGATTGCTCCGACCAACTCGCTCCCATCCTCCTTCTCGACATCAACCGTTCAACAAGGTCCTTGCTTAAGGATTAGCTCCACCACATTTGCCTGCAGTCACGAGATTATTTTTATGTTGGATTGAATTAGACTTTGGATTTAAGGCTTGGAATGCGAAAATTTATGGACAAAGTTTGATGTATAGTATGTGTTTAATTAAATGCTTCAAACAGATTTTTAGTTGATTTGTAATATTTTATAGGATTATGTGTATTAAATAGAATTTATTTGATGCATACCACATGTTTTGATTAAATGCTTTAAAAATATTTTTGGTCGATTTGTATTTTTCTTGAAAAGATTATATAACAAGTCGTCCATCGCCGATGGAGTATGCGAATGATATAGAACTCATAACGAGCTATACTTAATCTATAATGAGCTATACTTCTGTTATAAAGAGTTATACAATTTTATAAAGAGTTAAACTTTTGAAATAAGGTATTATGCTTTTGCGTAAAGCGCTGTACTTTGCTCAGACATTATATAAATGAGAGTGCAACTAAAAGTTATAAAAGATTGAACAAACAATTGTGTATATGGTCATCCATTTTTATTAATTAAAAAATTAATGATTATAAAGTGCTACACTTTGCTCTAAGAATGACAATTGTATCAACCAATTATTAAAGAAATTGGAAATAAAACTCTAACTAAATCACCACAATGTCGGCAAGAGGTCCACTCTCAATTTTCCAGTTTTTGGAAAAGTATAGCTTTTTATGCTAAAACGTTGTACCTTTTTGTGGAAGTATAGCTCTCTGTTCTAAAGTATAGCTCTTTAAATAAGTCGGGGTATAAAAGATAAAACCCCCAAAATTTTATTTATAAAATTAATATAATATAATATATTAATTAATAATATTGAACATATTAATAGAATATCTTATAATTGATTTATAAATGATGTATATTTAAATCAAAGGAGACGCATGTCCCTTATAGTATCCCATTGCTATAGTTCATAGAGGTATAGTATTATCACCCTCACCACTCCACCCACCACTGATTGTATATTTTAATAATGATATAATATTTTAAATAATATTATATTGAATAAAATAAACATATTATAGTGGTTATTTTTATATTAAATTAAATATTATATTAATAAAATATTTTAATAAATATATTGTCCATATATTATATCAACTATTATATAATATATAATACTATTATAATGTAATACACTATATTAACTAATAGCATTGAACATAGTTACAATTAATTGATAATTATAATATAACACATTATATTTTAGTATAAAGTAAACTAATGTAAATAATATACCAAACCAATTGTCCCACGTGAATTGTCAAATTATCTCATTATCTCAACTCGTCCCACTTTACCCACTCAAAAATATCCCAGAGGGATGAAATTGTTCAATTGGAACGATTATCCCGCTTTGACCTCAATTTGTCACGACCAACCCCCCTTATATAATACATAAAAACTCGAGCTTCTCGGGGTCGCGAATTCGGGTCCGACCAAAATTAATTTCGGGTCCGAACCCGAATTGAAATTACCTCATGCGCGAGTCACAAGTGGGAGGCGAGGAGCACGCCAGGATTCAGAATCCCGACAGCGGCAACGCCGCCTGCCTGACACCCTCGTCGCCGCCGAGGACCAACATGGAGGAGCCCGCCCTCGAAAAGGATGATCGCGGGCCGACACGGTCACATGACCTCCGTCCCGGCCCGCGGTGTCGCCCTCCGCCGTCATCAACTGTCTCGGCCCCACGCGCGCTGTCCTACACGCTCTCGTGTTGGGGCCGGGGTAAGAATCGCGTGACCGACAGCTCGTGCCACAGTCGCCATCCCATCCTTCACGGGCTTTATAATTAGCGGTATTTGAAGCGGGGAGGGGAACAACGTGCGGGTGAAGTAATTAAATAGCGTCACACCGGCAACAATACGAGAAATCCACTATGTATACAAGATGAACCACTCAACCCCCGTCTCTCGATCTCTCAACCTCACATACATAATCAACTCTCATATTATCCCTAAAACTCACTCCTTACAATCTTTTGAACGGACAAAGACTGCAAAACCCTCTTCCAATGATGTAATCTTTTACACTGACAAAGACTATGAATTACCATCGCCTCTCGCACAATATTCTTGAATCAGGCTACGCCCTCTGCTAACATTAGTTCACAAGAATATTGGCTCTCTCTCATCTCCTTAGTTTTTTTCCTCCAACAATAGAAGAATATATATATAGGAAAACCAAAATCATATCTCTAGCATAACTTCCTAACAATAGAAGAATATATATAGGAAAACCAAAATCATATCTCTAGCCTAACTTCCTAATTAGAATAGGATTCAAACTCCTAATCATGATAAAATCTCCTAATCATGATATATCTCTAACATTATCTAATTCTCATGAAGTTATACAAAGAATCAAAAACACAATCCTAACAGCTAACCATCTATTCGTTAATAAATGGATGCAATTTCATTCCTAAATTTACCAATCCACATGTAGTCGTGCATCGCATTAATTTCTAACTTTTACCAAAATAAAATCACATTCATTCATTTTAAAAATAGATTACCGTGATTAAAGTCGTGATATATATATCTATCGAAGACAAGTGGGTCAAAAGGTAAATTCTCCTTTTTAACCCTTTCTTCACACCAGAGAATTAATATGAGGTTGTGGACTGTCTTTTTGAGAAATCAAAGCTTATGTAGTCTGTGGTCTGTTGGTTGATACATTCGCCAACAAAGGCTGGCTGAGGATACATACATGAGGACCACAAGATCTTATAATCAGTGCAAGATTTATTTTTTTATTTTTTATTTCTTGGGGTTAATTTCTCAACCCCACTAAACTTTGGACATTGGAGGGTGTCGCACATAATCCCCTTGAACTTTGTTTATCTCATATACCCCTCTTGATCTTTGAAATGTCTCATCAAACCCCCTGAACTCCAAATTAACTTTTCTCACCAGACCCTCTACATCTAATTTACAAATATCTAAAGTTTCCTTAATAGAAAAAAAAAATCCAAAATTTATGAAAGGGGATGCGTATTGCCTATAAATGCCAAATGCCAAAGTTTAGAATTTTCTCTGAAGAACATTTTTGTTATTTGCAAATTATTGTCTTGGAAGAGGGTGGGTTTTTTTTTTTTTTTTTGGTTTTTTTTTTCATGGGAGATGTTATGTGAGAAAAAAAAAGGTTAAGGGCTTATGTGAAACTAACTATGAATTTTTTTTAGGCTCATGTTGCCATGACGATATGGCAGACTTATTCTGGTGGTCTCAACTCCCAAACTGATCTCAGATTTATTATTTGGAAGTTATTGTGGTGTTCATAAACCCTATCCATGTTGGTTTCATTATAAAGACAATTGCATAGATATCGTTTAGATATCTTTGGATGTGTGGCCTGCCAGGGCAAATAGGCCAATTTTGTCTTTAGTCCCTTCAACTGTATCAAAACCCCATTCCTGCACCGGGTTATACTTTTGGGGTTTTATCCCACAAACTACCTTAAAATTAAGTAGTGTCATCTTACAGAAATCAATTTAGATTTTTAATTTATACGTGAATCATCTTTAAAGTTAGTTTTTGTTACAATCAACCACATCCTAGCCAAATCTTCATTAAAAAACCGAAAATAACCTTAAAAATGCACGTTTAAAATATGTCACTTGCATCCTAATTAGACCTAAACACTAATAAAGTGAGTCACATGTCTTGAATGTGATTTTGAAGGGTAATTTTAGGCTTCATTGAAAATTATAATTGAGATGCGGTTGATTGGAACAAAAGCCCACTTTAAAGATGATTTGCGTATGAAATGAAAATAAAAAACGGTTCTACAAGATGACATGTTTTTAATAAAAAAGCCCTATACTTTTTTTAACATGACTAAGTAAGCGGATCGAACATCAATTTTATAAGCACGAACTTGAATGCAAATACTAAAATTTCAATTTAAACATGTAACCACTTTCAAAATTATATGAATTAGCAAGATTATTATTTTAGTATATAATATAAAACTATTTTTTGAGAAAATATAGTATAGATGGATGCCCCTATTTCCCCTTC